ATATATATATATATATATATATATATATATATATATATATACTGTTCACCTTATTTCCAAAATTTTCAAAGAAAACTATGAAAACAAACTACACTTGTTTTTTTGTTTCTTTGACTCAAATCTCATTTTTTTCTCCCAAAATTTAGATAAGAAAAATGCTAAATAAACAAGTTTTGGGTGTTTTTAAAATTTTGAGAACAGAAAATTGTTTTGGAGTTGCTAACCAAACATGGCCTAAATTTTTGTACCTTTATGGGATGAGTAATGCTATATGAACTTAAAAACTAAACTTAAAAATTAGACTTGATAATCTCAACTATTGAATAGGTAGTGAGTTCTAATAAATGCTGAGACTCACAATAAAATCAATGGTTGAAATTATCAAATCTAATTTTTAAATCTATTTTTTAAGTGTATGTAGCATTGCTTCTATGAGATTAGTTGGACTTCGAGAAACGATCTCAGCTATGTAGTTACAATTTTTTTTTTACTTTTTTTTTTGGAAGGGGAAAGGAGGAAAAGGACTTGAACCCTTGACCTCAAGAAGGTAAAACCTTCACAAGATAAGGAGTACCATTATATCAAAGACCCATTGGTATGTAGTTACAATTAGGTACTCTTGATTGATGCATTTGTGTGTTTGCTCTTCTTTTTTTTTGGTTCATCTCCGTTTTCTTTTTCAATTTTTTAGGTTAAATTTGAGTTGGTTACAATTTTCTCAATTTGTTCATTTTTCGATTTTTTTGGTAAAATTTGGGTTGGTTACAGTTTTCTCAATTTGTTCATTTTTGACTTCAATTGTTTTTGATCTTATGGTCTTATTTATGAAGGAAACTATATTTTTTATTTTTCGGTGAAAGTAATTCATTGATGGAAAAATTGGACATTATAAAGAAACTCAAACATTCCCCATCGTTGGATTTTCATGGACAGACAATCGTTGCTTTTTTGGTTTAGTACTTCTATACTTGAACTTCAATTTTCCCAATGCTCACAAGCTCCATTTTTGTCTGTCTTCACTTACCCCTCTGTTGGGTTCTAGTGTTTAAGCTGGACCCGAGGAACCTTGGTGTTGAACTAGACTAGTAGCAGCCAGTATGTCCGATGAGGTTGCATATAACCCATTGACTATTTCTAGTACTAGTGTCTCAAATGAACTAGGATTCTGGTTTCCACAAACAGCTCAAAGGGCTTTCTGGAGTGCAATGTTTTTTTGCATTCGTAAAGCCCATCACTATTGTTCTGGGATATGCTTGCAGGAATGAGGAGTTATGCAATGTATTGTTGTAATGGTTCCTCTGTTAGGTCTGTCTGTTCCCATAGAGCTTACAAGCAGTCCTTTCGCATTAGTCATAAAACACTATTCTTGTCCTGAATTTCTTTTGAGGTGCAAACATATACTTCAAACTGGGCTAAATTATCGCAGGTTCCCTAAAGGGATGGACTTGCAGTCGAGGTAATACATGTGTGCACAATTTATCTCTCTTGTTTGATGAGTTAGGTTCAAGAAGTATGTATAGTTCTCTTATAAGTGCCAAGAACTTTAGGAAATGACCATTTTGCAGTCTGAATAATGGAATTGTATTACAACTCATAGCCGAGGCGAATATTTCCAGTAATTTCCTTTGTCCTTAATTTTTCATCGAAAAATGACATCTTAATAGTGATATCTTTTTTGAAACAGAGGTAGCTAGAGCAAGTTGGTGGTAGCATATAGATGCCTATGTAAATCTCGTGGGGTTTTATCTGGCCGGACTTACAGGACCTATTGTCATGGATTTCATTCTCCATTTGGATGGGATATTGGCAGGACCTATTGTAAAATCATCTCCTCTCATAGCACGCTTCATAGATTGTCAAAAGAAGGTTCATGATCCTATCTCCCCTCAAACTTTACTACTAACTCTTTTTTTTTTCTTTTTGGTTTTTCTTCTTTTCCTTTCTAGCAAAAGCTCTGTCTGCCTGCCAAGAATGCCATGGTAACCCCCCAAAAAAATAGGAATTTCTGAATCGTTGTCGATATTTTGCAGGCAACCAAGCTACTTGAGGGTAGATCTTCATCATGAAATGCATCGACTGATTGCTTGCTGCTTCATCATAAATTTGTTGAAAAGTTGTTCAAAAATGATGTTACATCTGGTACAATTGTGAATCAATCGAATTTATTCTATAAGTATGTCCATGTCTGTCCATTTCTATTTGTATTAACTAGTTGGTACACACGTATGTTGCCTTGCACCTGAATTATATTACATCATTTTTATTTGTATTAACTAGTTGATACACACATGTATTGTATGTATGGGAACCATTTTGACTTAAAATATTATTCTAAGCTGTCATTGTTATCCAAGTTACAACCATCAGAAGAAATAAATAATTATGTCTGTTGTGTTGGAGATGTCTGACCAAATATAAGCAACTGAGCTCCTTGGTCAATTCCTTCATTCTGATTGTAATAGATTGAACTATCCTAGCGGCTGGATCATATAATAAATTTAAAATACTAATGACTTATATTAGTAGACTTATATTAGTAGAAATGAGTTCTCGTAAAAAAAAAAAAATAACTTTTCATTGTCCAAAAAAATTATACATTTAGTATTTAAATAAAAGGGAAAATTTGAGTCACACTTTTTCTATTTTACCATATTTTTAAGGACATTCTCTCTATTATCCAAAACATCACTAACATCCCTTCTAATTTGTATTTAAACATCACTAACACCCCCTATCGTTGAACCACCATTTCTTACAAATTAAAATTTATTTTTTTTACATAATAACAGTGGAGCCAATAAAAATTCAATACAAGTTGATTAAAATTTTATTCAAGCCAATTGGCCTAAATTTTAATATCTAAAAAAATTCATAAAATAAAAAGAGTTTCATTGAAGATATGCCTACCTAAAAAGAATGTGGATGAAATTTTTCCTAAAATCTATTATGGACAATTTAATAAAATTGTATTCTAGTTAAGGTCTTCAATTTGATAGGGAGTGCCAGTGAAAATTCAAAAAATAAAAAGATGCCCTTGCAAATATGATAAACTAGGAGAAGTGTGATTAAAATTTTCCCTACATAAAATGATTTCACTGGGCCCAAAAAATTACAAGGCATATGAACAAAAAAAATCACACAAACAAGAAATTTTTTATTGAGTAATGCTACATAAATTTAAAAACTAGACTTAAAAATTAGACTTGATAATCTTAACCATTGAATAGGTAGTGAATCTCAATAAATACTGAGACCTACAGTGAAATCAATAGTTGAGATTATCAAGTATAATTTTTAAGTTCATGTAACACATTACTCTTTTTTATTTGAATACAAACTGTGAAATGCCTTACATTTGTTCTTCCCAATATAATAAATGCACATCTTCTTAAAAACCAGAGTAATTTATAGATCGATTGTTTGCAACAGAAGTCCATAAAAATTTGAAAATTCATGTAACAACTTCAATTTGTAGATCCAAAAATGTGGGAGGACAAAGGGTGAAGCCCAATTATTTGATTTTTTTGTCTTAGTTAATTGGACGAAGATAGTTTCAATACAACTTTGATCCATAGCAATTCTGATTTCACAGAAGTAATCCTTTAGGATCACATATCTAATCTATATCCTAGAATAAGTGGGCAATATTGAAATATGAAGTCAAGCAGAACTATGACTCCTAAAATAGGCAGCTATAGGCCTCCTTTCAATGGTTAGTCCATAGCCATTAGAAGCATACAGCTATCCACATCCTGGTATAAAGCGTAAAAATGATTCAACAAAAATCTTGCGAAATAGCTATTTCCGATTCTCTGAATAGTGCTGCCAATGCCTAGGCAATACCTATCCCTTGTGAGCTTGGCAATGAGTTGATGAAAAATGAAAGAGAGAGAGAGAGAGAGAGAGAGAGAACAAATTGAACTAACCATACAAAAGAGAANCGTAGGCAATACCTATCCCTTGTGAGCTTGGCAATGAGTTGATGAAAAATGAGAGAGAGAGAGAGAGAGAGAACAAATTGAACTAACCATACAAAAGAGAAAATTTAAGAATAATATTCACTGTTATGGTTTCATGGCCAAGGTTTAATGTATGAAATCACAAGGCAGGCAAATAAGTAAGCAAAGGTCAATAAATTACGGTGATGAGCCTGCATTTGGGTTCACTTTTCTTTGGCGTTCTCAACAGAATTATAGATCAAACCAAAAAACCAGTTGATTTACCTCCTACAAAAAGGGTACTGCACTTGAACACAGAGATGGCATCCGGAGCTTTCACCTCATATATCCTCCACGATTTCTCCTCCAATTCAGCCTAAGTCATTGTTCCAAATATCACGAGGCCATTTTGAAAATTCTTACACTTTAAGATGTTGGTTGATCATTAACTTAATATAGAANTATATCCTCCACGATTTCTCCTCCAATTCAGCCTAAGTCATTGTTCCAAATATCACGAGGCCATTTTGAAATTTCTTACACTTTAAGATGTTGGTTGATCATTAACTTAATATAGAATTTGCTGCCTTTCGCCATTTTCGTACACCATGATCTTGTTGGTCAAGGTTATCCTGCATACCGAGAGAGCATGTCAGCAGGTCATGATTGTGTTAATTTAATAATTCTAACTAAAAGCTAAAGATGCAAACCGGCATATAATTAAACAAACCAATACTCACAAGTTATAAATCAAATAGACCTGCTATAAAAACAGGTCATGATTGTGTTAATTTAATAATTCTAACTAAAAGCTAAACATGCAAACCGGCATATAATTAAACAAACCAATACTCACAAGTAATAAATCAAATAGACCTGCTATAAAAACATACTTTTCTTGACAACATGAAGTAGAACAAATAGACAAAAGTAATAATCAGAGAAACCTGTTACAGAAACATTCTGAGAGAGGAGGTACCTATAACCATATGGATAAGTTAGTGGCTTGTAATGCATACCCAATATGGCAGTCGAATGTTTAATAACAAATGGGAGCTCACTTATNAAAAAATAGACCTGCTATAAAAACATACTTTTCTTGACAAAATGAAGTAGAACAAATAGACAAAAGTAATAAATCAGAGAAACCTGTTACAGAAACATTCTGAGAGAGAAGGTACCTATAACCATATGGATAAGTTAGTGGCTTCTAATGCATACCCAATATGGCAGTCGAATGTTTAATAACAAATGGGAGCTCACTTATTCCCTTGCTTTTTATTTGTTTATTTTCCTATTTTGTTTGCCCTCACTTGCTCATCCCTTGTGGTTATTGATTAACATCATAGTCTCTTTTCTCCATCTACATGTACCAGAAAGATCAGATAGAAATACCAAAGCATCACAGATACATAGACACTGTAAAAAAAGGTAACATTAATTGATTCCAAATGTGAAAAGCAACCGCGGATTGTTTCCGAAAAATGAGATATGTTTTTTATTATGTGAAAAAAATATCGAAACTAGAGTATATCACCTTCCATCTTCCTAATCAAATGTCATTCTTAAATATGTAGTATTCAGATAGATAATTTTTATGGAATGCAATTACCTACATTGTTTTAGTGATATTTATTTGATTCTCTCTCAAAAAACGTGTNAATGATATTTGTTTGATTATCTCTCAAAAAACGTGTTTGAAAGAAAAACTAACCGAATTAGAAAAACCTATAGAANAGTGATATTTATTTGATTCTCTCTCAAAAAACGTGTTTGAAAGAAAAACTAACCGAATTAGAAAAACCTATAGAAATCATGCTAAATGAACAATGGGAAATCATCAAAAGATCATAAGATAATGAATCATACATTATCATTTCTAAATGGATGGCTCACCAAAAGTGAAACAAAGAATGCAAATAAGCGCCTCATTACAAAACACAATTGACATCAATGAAACCATGAACAAACACATTGCACCAATTATTTCTGGCCGGAATCGCTGGTCTTTACACAATCTTCAAAGCTAACAATTGTATAGGCTGCTTATGAGAACTACAGACTACAAACCAATATACTCTTAGATGTCCTTATCATGAATATATGTTTGGTATGTTAATTCTATTAGATCAGCAGACCCAAAAAAGAAAAAGAAAAAAAAAANAGACTACTAACCAATATACTCTTAGATGTCCTTATCATGAATATATGTTTGGTATGTTAATTCTATTAGATCAGCAGACCCAAAAAAGGAAAAAAAAAAAAAAACCAATACCACTAGTTTTTGGCCACCTCCATGAGTTCCACCATGTCAAACCATAATCACCTCCCCNCCTCCATGAGTTCCACCATGTCAAACCATAATCACCTCCCCAATGTTCTAGTATAAATAAGGACACGCAACAATAGAAGCAATGAGAATAACTCGGTTGTAGTTCAAATTTTGCATAGTAAACGACTGTTTTAGCATTTACTATTTATGGAAGTTCTAAGTTATCATCAACCATAGACCCTTAAGCCAAATCTCTACTAGAGTAGCAAATAAAAACTTAACAATCACATTGAATTTGGGGGAAAAAAGTTCATAAACAGGCTCATCACAACAATGAGTTGTGCATTTTATAATATAGTCGTAGTATATATAAGGAGAAGTTCCATCAACTATCAAAAAATTCAATAGCATGTTACATATTTAATTTTATGGTATATTTACTTTTTATGTCAATCTATACTACATTAAAATGTCATGATAAATGAAAAATTTTACTTGGACACATTTTTCCTCCAAAATTTTGAAAATACCAAAATTACCATTAGAATTGGAATTTCAAACACTTGTGACATTTATCATATCAAATGGGTCAATAAATATTTCACAATTAGCATTATTGTATTTCATAGCGTAGATATATATATATTAGCAACTCTCAAAACTTTTGAATTCCTTTTTTTGCCCCTAAGAATGTAATTAATTCCTCTTAAATCTAACTCCATCAATAAACCTAACGCCCTAAATCTCATACACTAGTGCCCCTTTGTCTCTCTCACTAACTCCTCTGCCTTATATGGATCTTCAGTTAGACAATTATTTCCTTCCTCTAATTCTATAAGTTAAGTTGAGAAGATTAGGTTCTATTTAATGCTTTTGTTTGATGGCCAAATAATTAGTTATAGATTAAGTTCTTGAGTTCATGAGTCTTGGATGTTGAAAAATCTGAAATTATTTTGTTTAGAATAGAAGTTATTAGGAAGTGAAGAATTATACATGTATATGTGTTTGAATAAATGTTTGTTTATTGTGGCATTTTGAATTGAAGTGGCGAAGCACAACACGTCGAGTGGAGTAAGATCCAGACTCCTTCAGATAAGGTGGTCGTACCTTATGATAGCTTAGCACCCTT